CAAGGTGAACCTGCAGCTGAGCCAGCCCGGGACCCGCACTGACAGCCAGCAGCCCCCGGGGTCAGCGTCCACCCTGGTGTGGGCGCCTCTCCTGACAACGGATGCCCGCCGAGCAGAGGGGCGCCAGGCCATGGCGTGCACGGGTCCCGGCTCCACAGCAGAGGCCAGAGGCTGCTGGTCTTGGCCACTGTTGGCCTTTTGCAGAGTGGCTCACACAGCCCCCTCGGGAACCCCCAAGGGCAAGGCCACCGGGACCCCAGCAAGCCCATGGGCCCCTCATGAACGCACGGGCTCAGGGGCATCTCTGAGGTGCCAGGCCCTGGGGACGCCGGGGCCCAGGTGCTGCCCTGCCCCAGGGCTCAAGGCCAGGGACAGACCAGAGGACAAGGGTGCCCAGCGACAGGCTGGGCTGCCAGGACCTGAGGTGCTGCGAGGCTGAGAGTCCCTGCCCGTGGGCAAGAACTGGACCCTTAGAAGGTGCTGCTCAGACCCTGAGTGCTGCCCGGCCGGCGGGGCTCAGTGGCTGAGCATCGACCTATGAACCAGGAGGTCACAGTTCGGTTCCCGGTCAGAGCACATGACCGGGTTCTGGGCTCGACCCAGTAAGGGGCATGCAGGAGGCAGCCGATCAATGATTCTCTCTCATCATTGATGTTTCTATCTCTCCCTCCTTCTCCTTTCCCTTCCTCCCTGAAATCAATACAAATATATTTTTAAAAATACCCTGAGTGCTGAAAATGGTCCTTTGCCCCGGGGGGGTGCAGGTGGGGACAGGCGGGAACATGACCGGCCGGAGGTGACCCGTCAGGAGGGACGGCAGCACCATGGACAGCGGCGCTCGCCTGGCCCTGACCGCTGGCTGGTGCTCCCTTATGTGGCCGCACAGGGGGCGGGGTGGCCGGGTGGGGCCAGGTCCCCGAGGCCCCTCTGAATCAGGAGCATCACCGATGAGCCCGGAGCTCACAGCCACCCCCACATCCCGCCCCCAACGAGAGTCGGGCTCCCGGGAAAGCTGGGTCCCGGCCTGTGCTCCTGGCAGCTGCCTCCCTGGCACTGTGCTTGGCACTGAGGCGGGCGCCCGGCGGGGCCCCAGCATCTCACTCCAGGACCCGGGT